CCCCAAAACCCCAAAACCCCAAAACCCCAAAACCCCGAGCTAGCTGAGAGCTATAGGAGACACTATTTAAAATAATTTTCTAAAAATCAATAATATGGAATATTCCATTAGAAGGATATTTGAGCAAGATTAGAATTGCCCCATTCTGTGGTCTAGGTTTGAACGCTTTGAGCTTTTAGGGATTTCCTTGTGATTCTGAGGTAATTTGTACACTTGAATGTTAGATCCAGCGTTCCAATTGGCAGACTCAGTCTTTATCATTGAATTTGAAGTAACTTTTGAGAAGTCATGAAAGTCTATAATCTTGGTCTTCTTTATCTGATTGTGAGGCTCTTCCAACTTCTTCACTACTTCAGGAGCCTATTTATAAAAACTAGAAACTAGAATTACCTTAGGCTTCGCTTGAGTCTTGATTGTCTTAGAGCATCTTCTCTTAAGTTTGCAAGAGAGATCGTAGATAAGATTCGCTATTTTTAAGAAAAGTTCACTTACACAGCATTATCATTGCAATTACTACGTTGTTGGAAATTAAAATGTACAAATAAACAGAAGTGTTTGTGCCTTCCCAAACATCTGTAGTGTTCAGGTGCAATAACAGGCAAGCTAGAACAGTGAAGAACACTTCATTTGTGATCTCAACTATGTTCTCACATTTTCCTGCCAGAGGTCTCGAGTACACTATCCTCGAGAAATAGAACAACTGAAATACAGACAGAAACACAATGGCAAAGTATTTATTTGCATCTTTCACGCTGATGAGCCAAATCACTAGCACAAAGCGCCTTAGGAGGAGGAAGAAGGTGTAAATCCTGGCTTCTTTGGAATCCTTCAGTCCTCTAGCAAGCTCTTTAAAGTAGTAAAACTGTTCTTCATCGTAGAACTTCATTGTGGTAGCATAGACATGGTAGGATACATAGAGCAAGAAAGCTCAGAAGATCAAGGCAACTCATGAAATCAGGAAAGATACGTATTCTGTGTACTCTAGTCTGAATATCTCAGACACAGATCCCAGCATTATGAATTGGTAGGCTTCAAGGAAGAGTCTCAAGTAAATCGTCAAATTGAATAGCTCAAAAAGTATGTCTTTTCCTTTGTTGATTAATCTTCCAATTTTGGATTTCCACTTTGACTCAGAGTATGGCATCTTCTTACATCTTGGCACCAGCATTGATCAGATATGGGAGGGCAATAGCACTAAGAAAATCAAGAAGATCAGCGTAAAATTATTGTAGAATGTACTCCCTGATTCGATACCAATTTCAGACAGATTGCTGTCATCTTGTTCTTTGATAAACGAGCCTTTCACCAGAGTCAGCCCTGGTAGCTTATCTAGAGGCAAGAAGTCTAATGAGAAAGAAGCAAATCTGTTCGTTGTCAAAAATTCTACTATTTTGGTAGGCATTGAACTATTTGTTAGAACGAGAAGCAGTAAAAGTTGCAATTGATTAGCCATCACCCATAAGACAGTGGGAGACGACATATTTAGAACTGAGATAACCACTGTAGCAGCTGCAGCTGCACCCACAGCGGATTGAGAGGCAGCAGATTCTGAAGTAGATACTCCTTGTGATGAGGAAGTTGTTGAGGAAGTTGTTGTGGAAGATGTTGTAGAAGATCGCAAGGAGCATTGACCGTTATCAAGGCTATATCCACTATTGCAAGTCTGTCATGTACTTTGGTCCCCTGTTACTCATGCTGCTCAGTTATTAACAGATCAACCTGATCATGTAGAGCTGGTTGTTGAGCTTCCCCCTTGACAAGTATACCCAGACTCTACAGCTCATGTACTAGAACATCCATCCCCATCAATGTTATTTCCATCATCTCAGTATGTAGCAGAAGTTACCATCACTTTTCCATCTCCTCAATCATCAGAACATTCACTTGTTGTTGAAGAGTCACCGAGAGTTCAAGTCCATCCTGTTTCCACAGCACAGGCTGAACTACATCCATCACTACTACTGGTGTTTCCATCATCTCAGTAGCCTGAGACTGGATCCATACTTCTTCCATCCCCTCAAATATCAGATCAAGAACTAGCAGTAGTAGAGCTGCCAGATGTTCATGTCCAGTATGTCTCCACTGCGCATGTAGAATTGCATCCATCTCCGTCATTATTGTTATTGTCATCTCAATAGCCTGCTTGAACATCCATAACTTTACCATCTCCGCAATCGTCTGAACAAGTGTCAGCAGTAGAGGTAGTCCCTCCAGATCAAATCCATCCACTCTCTATAGCTCAGGTGCTGCTTCAGCCATCGTTGCTGCTTGTGTTGCCATCATCTCAGTAAGTGGTTGGCATAGTAGTAATTATCTTCCCATCTCCACAGTCATCGGTGCAATCACTCTCACTTGTTCCAGTGTTCCAAAAACAAGTGTAGCCACTTTCAACTTTACAAACTGAACTGCAGCCGTCTCCAGCAACAGTATTGTTGTCATAGCAGTCGACGGTCTGATCTGCTGGACTGGAAGTTGACTGGCAGGTTAAGCTACATGTATCAACAGTTGATGCAGTTCCTCCAGTTCATGAATAGCCTGTCTCAAGTGTGCATCCTAAAGCTCATCCGTCACCTGAGTTGTAGTTACCATCATCTCATACTTCAGCTCCTTCCCTGGTTCCGCTTCCTCAAGTGGTTTGCCATGACCATTCTAAAATTGTTAGAAATATTGGTAAAGCTCTTACCATTGTAAGGAGCATTATACAAGTCCTGAGCTACTCCTGGAAGTTCATCTGAGTAGATCCTGATGCTATGAATTGTATAGCTACAGCCTGATTGGCAGTTGTTATTTTTGTTTCCCACAAAATAATCTGTGCTACTACCACTCCAACTGCTGATAGGAGTAGAGATATTATTGAACACACCTCCCCCTCCATCTCTAATCAGCTTGATGAAGCTTTCATTCTGTATAAATTATTCAAAATGTATGAGATAAGAATTGGTATAATAAAGACTTTTTAGATCAACTAACACTAAGGATGTTCTACATTCCCTTTTAATAAATCTTAATATTTTCTCAGAAAGCCTTCAGAGATAAACCAATTTTCCAGAACTAATTCCAGGTACTTTACATTTGAAATTGTCGTTAATAGCTCAAAATATAAAGCCTAGCTCTAAAACACACCTAATGTCAATATTAAGAAGCTGATTTGTTACCTTTCCCCATCCGAAGCCAATCAGAGTCCATTCATTTTCTATATTGAGGTTAGGCAGTGAATTTCAGATACAAAGAGAGATGATATTTTTGAGAAATATCTTGTAGAATCTTCTAATTAAATTACACAAGATGGCTAAATATGCTGGTAGACTAGAACTCAGGCAAGACTCAATGATCCAACACTAGAGAGATGAGATGGACCAATATGCAAATCTAGCCATATTCGGACCTTAATCAGATCCCTAGACTTGTTCTTTTAAATTAATGTAAGCATCTTTGATACAAAGTCAAAACATTCAGCCAATTCTGCCAGAAATTTCTAATATCTTATGTTCTTCTACATCTCCGGGGTTTCATAACTGAGGTAAAATTGCAACTAAAACTTTAGAAATTATTTGGTCTATTTCTAACCAGAAGCATGCAAGAATATTAATTTGGGAAGGTATGTTCACATCTGACGAATAAATTCAGATACTACTCACTGCAAAAGCAAGGATTTTTCAAAGAGGTTAGCATAAAATCAAATTGACTTATCTCTTGATTTCCTAGCATTAGAATAAAACTTAGAGAGCCTAACCCTCAGCTTGGAGAAGTCTAGTCGCCTCCTCAATCTTACATCGACAGTCTGGATATTTCTAAGCTCAAGAAATATTGGGTAAATTTATGAAGAAATTCTTAGATCATAAAATAAAAAGAAGAAATTGAAGAAGGTCCGAAAACTTGCGGATGTAGCTGTAATATCTCTTGGTATCTAATTCTTCAGACTTCTAAACTATTGAAGAGCTAGTCTGATTGCATGGGCTCAGTGCCTGTATAAGCAAATGACTCTGAATAATCTCAGAAAATTCAGAACACCAAGTTGAATTGAGCAGCAAATATTCTTTTCATAAAATCAAGCGGCTTTAGAAATTAGCAAAACAACGTGGCACAGGGCCTAGTCTTTTTAATTGGTATCAAAGTTAGAAACTACATTTAAAACTAAGGGTTTGAGCATCAAAAAGAAAAAGAAAATAATATATCTCTTCCATTAGTAAGAATCTTGGTCTTGGTGATGACCCCAACATTTTGAAACGCTTGGTGAATCTTACGCTGAATACCGATGCTAGTTCCGCTAACATCGCTCCCATTCACATTTAGTTGAGTTGTACTAGTTCCTGATCCCATTCCTTTAACAGTAATTGCTCCAGTTCCTGTTGCATACCCTGCCGCAGTGAACTATATAGTTAACTTGCAATCAGATTTAAAGCTATAAAGAGCAAAATTTGTAAAATAAGACTTACGCTGTGACCTATTTGTACAAACTCCTCGATTCTTCTATTATCTTTGTAGATCCAGATGGCAGCAGAGATGTAATCAGCCCCTGAATTATCGAAGAAGGTTGAGAAAGAGAGATATCTAAACAAGGTAAGACTCCTAAATTACTCTCCTGGTCCAACATCTACTCCATTAGTTCCTTTTGTAGGATTATTTCCTCCTAGAAAGTAAAGGAAAGCGATACCGGGAAAATCAAGTGTTGGTTGGCTTGCCCATCCTTCACTGCTGCTGACACTTGTGACTCCACCTCCAAGACCGTGCAACAAGTAAGTTGCCATGATAGCTCCATGTGCTCACTGTCATAACATAATGATTACTATGATCATGAATCACTGATATTTATATTTCTTTCCTATAAATTATTAGGTGATTTTGACATCCTAAGATCTTGGAATAAAATTTTGATGAACAACTATTATAAAAACACCAGATAAGTGGTCCCCAAGATCTTAGACTACTTCTAATCTGGCTACTTTCATTCACAAATTTAGAAGATCTAGACAGGCTACATGGCAAGACCGAATTAAGGGATGGTACTTCAAGTATCTCCAGGTCTCAAAAGTCTTTGTAGAGGCATCTAATCTCTTATACGCATGTTCTATGGATTATTTAATGTAAATTAGGCATTTATTAACAAATCGCAGCTCTGTTTCGAGTGAGCTTCACCAGCCTCATAACTTTGATAAAACCCTGAAAACAGCTGCCCAAGGAGCTATCACAAGTTTTAGAGCTTAAGAGAATGCAGTTTGGCCCCATTGATGTAAGTTCTTAATTGGGATGAATGAAATCGTATAAAAGGTAATTCCAAATATCTTATCATGACACCTTTAACAATCTGTAAAGCCCAAGCTGGGGTATGCTTTTAAGAATAATTATGAGGGTTTAGGACAAATTAAGCCCTAGCTATAGATTTAGGCTTCGTGATCATTGAATTTGGGTTGGAAAAGTGATAGAAATTGATAGTAAAGCACAGCGAATAGTTTTTGGGCACAAATTATTAGTTTAATTTCTTTTCTCTATTATATTAATAAAGCAACACGAATTTGAATTAAAGCTGAAGTAAGAGAGATATCTAGGACTCCAGAGGACAAAATGTCAAAATCTTATTACTGCTGTTTAAATATTACTCTAGATAGAATTTCAAAAGATAGTCCTCTAAAGGAGATTTCTCAGAGTATAAATTAGGCACTTCGTTACCTCCAGAATGGCTCAAAAATGTATACCTAGTTGTCCAGAAGATTTAACCTCAAAAGAGACTACTAGGTCTTATCCAGACTGCAAAGAAGAAAGCTTACCCATATTATTTTATAATATTCAATTGTTGTTCTGGGATATGGGGTTTTGGGGTTTTGGGGTTTTGGGGTTTTGGGG